AAGATGAAGATGGAGATGATGATGATGATGATGATGATGAAGATGTTGATGACGAATATGATGATGATGATGGTGGTGGTGATGATGATGATGATCATGATGATGATGATGATGATGATGTTGATGATGATGATGATGATGATGATGATGATGATGATGATGATGATGATGATGATGATGATGATGATGATGATGATGACTACGCATGGTCGTCATTATCGTCATTATCGTTATTATCGTCATCGCCATCGTAGCAGCCGGGGTGGCAAAGGACGCCCCGAGGTCGGAGGTTCGCAAGCCGGGGAGGAGGAAGGGGGAGGGAAGTGCGGGTGGGAGTGAGCTAGACGGCGTGCTATCTAGGAGGGTGTCTTGACCCCTCCCCCTACCCTTAAGTCGGACATGTTCCCCTACAGGCGGACTTGGAAGACAAGTTAAAAATAGTCAATAATCCAAAATTCGCCGGCCCAACGGGCCAGAGGCGTCCTAAGATCTCCGGTAACTATCGGTAACTGGTTAACAATTCTTCTAATTCGCGCGCGCGGGGCGGCCCCTGGGGGTCCCCCGGCGAAAAGTATCCCGACCGCAGCCCGGGAAGGTCTACTCAAAAATGATTTTGAAGGCCTTTTTTCGACACCCCTCACGAGAATTGTGGCCTCCGACGGGGGGGGGGCACTCGACTACCCCGCCCAAAGAGGCCCCCAAGAGCCCCCCAGGAGGCCCAAGGGGGCCCCAAGACGCCGCCAAGGAGCCCCAAGAGACCCCCAAGAGGCCCCCAAGAGGCCCTTAGGAGACCCCAAAGAGGCCCCCAAGAGGCTTCAAAGAGGCCCCATAGAGCGCTCGAGGGCCGGCGGAATGAGCGAAGCGATTAAATAAACAAAAAATAGTCCCCCTATTGTGATTTGACTATCTGAGTTTTCCTCCTGTAGAGGGACACGTCCGACTTAAACTTCACCCTACCCCCTCCCCTGGACCTGGATAGGGGAGGGGCCCGCGACCCCTTATAGAGTCCAGAACGGCCTCGGCGAGGAGGCACGCCTCACTGATTGTACGAGAACGTGCTGGGCCCACGTTGGCCTCTTCGGGCGCGACGCGAATTTGACACCCCCCCCTGTTTGATCGATCTCCTCCAAGATGGCCCCTATGATGGCCCCGAGGGGGCCCCAAGAGGCGCCCGAAGGCCCCAAGAGGCCCCAAGAGGCCCCCGAGAGGTCCCCGAGAGGCCCCCAAGAGACCCCCGAGGGGCCCAAGCAGGCTTCCTAAGACGCTCCGAGAGGCCCCTGGACCGCCAAGAGGCACCGAATGCGGACCAAGAGGACTCCAAGAAGCTCTCAAGAGACATCTGAAGAGACTCCGAGATGCATCCAAGAGGTCTCATGCCTTTCTCCTCCTCCTCCTCCTGCTCCTCCTCCTCCTTCTCCTGCTCCTTCTTCTCCTTCTCATGTTCCTCATTCATATATTTATCCTCCTCTCTCCTCCCTCCTCCCCCCCTTCACCACCTCCTCCTCCTCATCCTCCTCCTCCTCCTCCTCCTCCTCCTCTTCCTCCTCCTCCTCCCCCCCCTCCTCCTCCAATTTCGCTTCCATCTCCCCCTCTTGGGGTATGACGGCTTCCCCAGCCCTGTATTATGTTGCGTGCTCCTCCACATCCCTGATCAGGGCAATTCGCATTGGCATCGTTTCTGGATGGGCTGGTGGGGTTACTTTTTTGGTTGGCGGCTCCGAGGCGGCGGACAGGGAGCGGTCAAGTTGATCCGGGGCGCGGTACCAACGAATTGACGACTGGTGGGGTTACGCGACACGTCTAGAATCTGACGCGAGCCCCGAATGCAGACGCCCCACGAAAGCTCACAACCTGGGCCATCAAAGTCCATCACGGGACCGTCAAAGAGGAGCCCGCCTCCGATGACTCGCGCCGAGGCCCGTGACCAGCCCCGCCCCTCCCCCCGGTCGCGCCACGCCTCGCGCCGCCGGGCGCCGTGTGGGAAGCTGACCATCCCCAACCATTACCAGACGGCGCCTGCACGAATCGTGTCACGAGTCATGTCCCGCCCCCTTGCTTCGTTTCCTCTCACGTCTCGCGCATGGGTGCAGGCGGGGAGCTTCAGTGGGTTCCCCCGCCGAACACAGCAATCGAGGATGCATCGCCCATTCATGGCCCATAGAGACACCATTGCCGGGACCCTGCGCCCGATCCCCACTTTCACCCTCCAACGTGACCTGACAGGTCCCCTCCCCCACTCCCCACACCCGGTCACGCCTGAAGCTATCATGAACCATCGTCGGCTACCTTGAGCCATCTCGGAGGCCATCTTGGAGCATCGGGGGCCCTCTCGGGGCTGTCTTGGAGCTCGTTCGGGGGATCTTGGGGCCCTGTCTGGGTTTGGGGGGGGCCTCGGGGCCCCAGCGGGGGTCCCCTGGGTGCCCTGGGGGAGCCTCTTGGGGCCATGCTGGAGACCATCGATCGCAAGGGGGGCCATCGCCACGGGGTATATATATATATATATATATATACATATATATATATATATATATATAAAAATATATCATTCCCTACCTAGGCTCTGCCTAGCGGGTTCTTACTTTGTTTGCTTAAAGGGGCCGGGCAGTGTAAAACGCCCCAGGCGGTTCCCCCAGTCCCCGCCCCGCGGCTCCCCCAGTTGCGCCCCCTGGGTTCCCCTAGCTTAGCTTAGCTTAGCTCAGCTAAGCTTAGCTTAGCTTAGCTCGGCTAAGCTTAGCTTAGCTAAGAATAGCTGAGCGTAGCCTAGCCTAGTCTAGCCTAGTTTAGCTTAGCTTATCTCAGTTTAGCTTATCTAAGCTGAGCTTAGCTGAGTTTAGCTGAGCTTAGCTTATCTCATGTTAGCTTAGTTTAGTTTAGCTTACTTCATCGTAACTTCGCTTATTTCAGATTAGCTTAGTTTAGCTTAGCTTAGCTTAGCTTAGCTCGGCTTAGCTTAGCTTAGCTTAGCCTACTTCTAGCTTAGCTTAGCTTAGCATAGCTTAGCATAGCTTAGCTTACCTTAGCTTAGCTTAGCGCAGCGCAGCATAGCGCAGCGCAGCATTAGCACAGCATAGCATAGCATAGCATAGCCAAGCATAGCATAGCATAGCATACCTCAGCATAGCATAGCATAGCATAGCGCAGCATAGCGCAGCATAGCATAGCATGGATGAAGGTGTAGATGTAAATGTAGCTGTCGGTGTAGATGCAGATGCTGCTTTCCTAAATGCTCCAACTCCTAGGTAGGGTCGCATTGGGAGAAGTTCTGGCTTTGTATATAATAAAATTTAAGGGGGAAAAAAAAAGAAAAAAAAAAAAAAAAAAAAAAAAAAAAAAAAAAAAAAAAAAAAAAAAAAAAAAAAAAAAAAAAAAAAAAAAAAAAAAAAAAAAAAAACGGCAAACTCGATCACCACGCTTCCCCCAAGACGGGCGCGGCACGCGGCACGCGAAGGGGGGCGACGCGGAGGGGCGCCACCGGCTGCGCCGCCCTCGGGGAGGCCGGCCTGGCAGCGGGGCGCGCCCACGGGCGGAGGGGGGGCGGGGAAGGCGAGGGGCAGGGCGAGGACGAGGGCGGGGGCGAGCGAGCGAGCGGGAGGGCACTGGGAGGGGGGGAGAAAGGAAAGGAGGAGAGAGGAGGAGGAGGGGGGGGGAAGGAGGAGGAGGAGGAGGAGGATGAGGGGGGGAAGGAGGAGGAAGGTAGGAGGAGGAGATGAGGAGTGAGAGGAGGAGGAGGAGGATTAGGTGGAGGAGGAGGAGGAGGAGGAGGAGGAGGAGGGGGAGGAAGAGGGAGGAGGAGGAGCCTCTTTTGTTACCTTGTTCTGGTAGGCCCGCCCTGATGGACAGGGACCCAGTGGCATGGTCAGGCTCTCTCGGGGGACGTCATTCCACCCTCTTCGGCGGCAGCCCGCGAGAGAGAGACGAGAAAACGCGCGCAGCCCCGCCTTGGTCGGGGGCCGCGGGGGGGGGTCAGGGTAGAGGGACAGGCCTCCGCCAGGAGCATAGTAGCGCCCGCAAGCTCTGCAGCAGAGCACTCCCTTAACGCAGTCAAGGGTATGAGAGGAATGGCCCTGGGGAGACCACAATGGAAGCGGGCCGATTCGGGGCCCAGGCGCAGTGGAGCTACCTCACAGCACTTCCAAGGGGCTGAACGCAACAAGATTGGATTCTGAAATGAACACGCGTTTTTCACTCCTCCTCCTCCTCCTCCTCCTCCTCCTCTCCTTCCGCCTCCGCCTCCTCCTCCTCCTCCTCCTCCTCCTCCTCCCCCTCCTCCTCCTCCTCCTCCTCCTCCTCCTCCTCCTCCCCTCCTCCTCCGCTCCTCCCACTCGCTCCTCCTCATCCGGCAGACCTGGCAGCGGAACAGTCCTCTGACGAGCACAGGTGCGCGGCCCGTGGCAGGCAGCCTGTGCCGACGGACACAGCGTCGGCCGGGAGGGATTTCTGGGCCGGGAGGCTGCCTGCCGACGCGGTCGGCCTTTCTGCGAGAGCGCGCGGGCGCCACCTCTCGGCTGACTTCCAGGAGGCGGCGCGAGACACGCGAGGACATGCCATCCACGTCAGAGACTAGCAGAACATGCTCGAGACGACCCCCCCCTGGTGCAGCGGCCACACCAGCAGAATGATCAGCACGGGACGTCCGAATATGTTCGGCCTCGCTGAGGCCACAGGCTGCACACATAGACGAGGTGGCATGGGCTTTCGCCCAGGTCAACTCGACTCTCCACGGGACGATGCCAGATCAAAGTCCACGAACCCATCATCGGCGAACTCATCGCGATCAGAACTCTAGGGCGTCTGAGGGACCGCACGAGGGGAAGGTGGTCCGAATACGCCACCACATCGCCGACGCTGCAGGTGAGAAGCATATAAAGAAGGCGAAGAGCTCCGCCCCCGGACTACTCTGCTGCTCATTGTGTGTCGCGTGCCACGAAAAAAAACATCTTCGTCCAGACCCCAAGCACCACCTTCGAGGACTTGCCCCCGATCCAGAGCCCCCAACCAAACGCAAAAAACGGGCGGCGGGACACGACCCACGGCGGCAGCCGAGGAGGGCAAACCTCGAGTCCAGAAAGAACCGTCGTGGCACGCTGCTTCGGCCTCGAGGTTCTCGGGGCACAAGTGCTGGGAACCACGCACAAGGCTCGCGCCAATGTTGGCGCTTCAACTGCAAGACGTAACTCTGCGCATCACTGTCTCTCACGCTGCTCCACAGCGTTCGCAGATACCAGTAGACAACTCGCCTGGTAGGCGCAGCCGATTGTCAGGTCAACACCCTGCAGGGACAACACAGCACAGCAGGGCCGCGTCCTGGCGGGCCCCTTCTTTGACAAGCTGGGCGTGGATGCGACGGAACACAGCGAAGTCAATCCGACTCTCGGGACCCACTCCACAAGAATGTTCAGCAGCATCACCCCAAACCTGTGGCGAAACCGCCCCCTGAACGCACTCCTCCATTCAAGATCCGACTCGGGGTCGCTCATCTGATCGGCGAGTCAGGGGCAAAGCAAGCAGCGTGGTAATGACTGCAGCAACGGGACCCTCCACAGTCCCCACTCTACGATTAGCAAGCGAAGACAGCAGCTGGCCAAGAATACGGTCCCAAGATGTCACAACTCCCTGGCGCGCACTGGCAGACGCCTGCATCTGCTCATGACACAACAGGTACACAGGATCGTCTTTAAACAGCTGCCGAGTAGCGAACACAGCGAACATACAGTGGGAGCCCATGCCAAGAAACACCCTGCTTGCCTCCAGGGTGCCCTGGGTTTCTTGGTTTGGGATGGTTTTGCCATGGGAAGCGTGACGTTACCACACCAAAAATCAATGGACGCCCTGGGGTCTCAGGGTTGGTTTTCTTGTGAAAGGTTTTTCGTGGATCGGCCCCCACTGCACAACACCCTGACGACCAATATCCTGAGGACTTGGCGGCAGAGGTTCTGAATGCACGAACTTCGGCTGGGGGAAGGTCTACAGCGGGCGCCCGATCACAAGGAACCTTCCACGAGAAACCCAACCCAGAGACCCCAGGACGCCCATCGATTTTGGGCGTGGGAACGTCACGCTTTCCATAGCAAAACCATCGAAACCCAAAGACACCCCGGGCACCCTGAAGGAAAGCAGGGTCTTTTTTGGCAAGGGTCGGCGGCGAGCGAGGGGGGGAAGTGAGAAGGAGAAGGCCTTCTCAGAAGGCTCGGAAGTCCCCCGACCATCTGAGAAGTCTTCTAAGCCTTCCCCGAAGACAGACAAAAAAACTCTCAGAGGGCACGAGGGCCTCTGAGAAGTCCCGCCGCCTCCCGAGAAGGCCTTCTCCTTCTCAATGCCCGCCCCTCGCTCGCCGCCGACTCTTGGCAGGGGGGCCCCAGCTGCACGACGCCGCGGCTGCAGCTGCCCGCGCCGAGGACCCCCGGGCCCGAAGGGCCCACCGGAGCGCACACGGAGCCCGACGAGGCGCTGCGACGCCCGAGCGCTGCGACGCGCGCCACCCTCGTCGTCACTCTGACATTGGACGCGCACCTCCTTCCGCTTGCGGATGCCCTGACAGCGGACACTCTCACAATCCCATCATTGCACTACACATGTGCTAAAAGTGCGTACAACAGCACGTTCTAAGCATGTCTCCAACATGCTCTTACATATATCTAAAACATGCTGGAGACACTTTTTGTGACATCTGGGAACTATTTGGCAGCATGCTTCCTCTCCATTAATCGACTTCCACAACCTTCTCCCAGCACGCGGTCGTGTTCTTATTCCGTGCTTTGCCGATCGGCGCGGGCCCTCGCACCCCCCCCCCCGCCCAGTAGAGTGAGACCTTGGCTATTTTGGGCGCCTGCTTCGAGCATCCCCCACAGGGCGCACTGCTGCAACCGGTCGCATTCGGCAGAGGTCCGGAGCCAGACCCCCCCCGCCTTCCGCCCACTGTCGAAACGCCGGATAAGACAACGCTCACGTTTCGTCATAACACCAAAATCCTCGAGCGCCTCCGAAGCCTCCGTCGGGATCCCCGACCTCTGCAACTCGGCCCCCAGGTCGCGCGCGAGCCCGGCATCAGCTACGATCCCCGCACTCTCCATGGAGGCCTTGCAACTCATGGGCGGCCCGGCGAGGACGGCCTGAGGATGCCCCACGACGGCCCAGAATAATCGAGGACGGATTTCATAGCACCATGCGTGCACTGCGTGATATCACCCACGCACAATTTCACAGACACGTGCGGAAGACGATGATGCGCGCGAGGCCATGCGTCGTGCAGAAGAGCCTTCACCCACGGCACAGACTGGGCACATCCCGCCAGCGCAGAGTTGCACGCGGGCACGACACGTGAGGGCGCGCCTTCACCCACGGCATAGACTGGATACATCCCTTGCACGTGGCCAGAACACGCGAGGGCGCGCCTTCGACCTCGAGCAGGCAGGGACTCGCGTGGATGGGAAGGCCTAGATGCAGCAACTGGAGCGGGTAGTCCACCTCGAGTGCAGGTCTGGGTCAGCAATCCGAGAACCACACGTTCAAAAAAACACTCCTCCTCGTGCCAGTGGGCGGCCATCGATTCCAACCCGAGGGAACCGGCGACCTCGTAGGAAACGGCCCCCACGAGGGCGCTGTGCATGGCGGATGAGCAAGTGATCGCACAATCCCAGAAATCGGCATGGTCATTGTTCCGTTCAACGACCATGCCGCCCCTCATACGTCAAAAAAACATGCTCCACAAGGTACAGCACATCGAGGGCACCCCTTCATCCGAAACACACCTGGGGAGCATGGCCGTCAGGTTGAACGTGCACTGGGCGAGGAACGTGAGCGCCTGCCCAACGTGGGCGACAATCTGCACAACCCCATTCAAGCGCGCGCCCTGGGAGAGAGAGCCACTCGCGAGGGAACCATTGGTCAACTCCAAGAGCAGCGCCGGCAAAACAACAGTGACCAGCTTGCACAAGGTCCCGAACCTCCATCTCTGGGGTAGCCAAGACGGCGAGCCAGGCAGACGCTCTGAGCTCCCGAAGGGACTCATTGAGGAGCTTGCAATGGGAGTCTGCGTGCCCGAGACGTGCGCCCTGTGCTGCATCATGTCAGCATGCGTTTGCTTCATGCCATCGGAACCCCTGCAATGCTGCACCGTGACGCGGTTATCAACCTTCAGCCATCTGCGTAGCTCGGGGACCCTCCAGGAAGGCAGGCACGAAGGCAGAGGCGGCACGCGCCTCGCTCCAAGCATCATGGCAGATAGTGGCGGCCAACTCCAACCACTCACGGACAACCGCGGGGTCGAAAGAGGGGTAGGCTAGAGACTTGCCCCACCGCTCTGCCTGCTTAGCAAATTGCCTCGGATCGTGATGCGAAAAGGGAGAACTCGCCAGACCAGAGCGGGCGATCCACAGCCGAGCAGCATGCCTCAGACTGAGACCCTGCATTGCACAAAAACTTCCAATACTACAAAAGTCGTGCGTGCACCAACGACCAGAAACACAAGTGCCCGCATGAAAAACTATGTTTATCCCGTTCTTGCCATCGGCAAGAACCAGAAAACGTCAGCGGCACAGACCACGTTCCAGGACCCGAGAAGGCTCAATAGCCGAACAAGCCCGAGACAGCATCACATACTCGGCGGAACGGGGACCACAAAGCGTAGGCCTGCGAATGCCCCTCAGACAACCCCCCATCGGTATGCTCCAGGAACGCGGACGAAATACTCAGGAGCCGATGGATCAGGATCATCCTGCAACGCAAACTTCACGCAAAACAACCAGGGCCCCAACCAATCAACATCAAGCACGGTGGCTTGCCCAGCCGAGACTGGACCCCTGACCTTGCGCAATTACCCCAGCCAGCACGCTGGAGGCGACGAAGAGACGGCCCCCAGGATTCCTCCACCCTGGCATGAGGCTGAGGATGCTATTCTGCCAGCAGGCCAGCGGTCTCCTGAATTCGACTCCAGCCAAGATCTTTCGAACCGAACTTGGCTTCAACCAGCGTGGTGAAGCACCGGCCTACAAGCTTGCCGCAAGCAGAAGTGGCAGCCTGCCTGCGTAGCCCGAGAGTACTGCTGGGCGCAGGCCTTGGCAAATGGTGGGCGTACGAAACCCTGAGGAAGAGTACCAGTTGGCCAGAGACCCTCGGAAACCATTCGCAGGGAGGCATTTTGTCAGATCCTGACAATCAAGGCAACCATGCGGCTGGCCGCCTGGGTGCGAGAGGTAGACTTAGCAGCCGGGCAAAACCAACCAGCGCTGACGTCAGCGCCCAAATCGACCCCCGTCCTGGCAAAGGTAACAGGAATGTCCTGGTCCCTGAGCTTGGCGGAAACTCGCTTCTCGAGACCAGGAGAGGAGGACATCAATAGAGTCTCACTAGAGATCACAAGGCGACCATGAATAACTTCATCGTTGAGAACCATCGAAAAATCGAAGATACCCTGTTCAGCAACCGCTTTACTGCCTTCAACTCGCAGCACGGTGCCATCAATAAACGTCCAAATGGAAGCGAAAGCAGCCTTCTTATGCGCAGCCTCAGGGAGAAGAGGCAATAACAACTTGGCCGCCCTGAATCCTTGAGGAGACCCCGCCACCAAAAATCGGGTCGGCCAAGTGGGATCCGAGGCCTCTTGTCGACCTCTTAACTTGCGGGGTGCTGCGCGAAGCTGAAAAATAGCCCCGTGGAAGCGCCAGGAGGAGGAGGAAGAGAACGGCAGGAGGAGGAGGAGGAGGACGGCAGGCCAAGAGAAGAGACGGCAGGAGGAGGAGGAGGACGCCAGGAGGAAAAAGACGGGAGGAGGAGCAGGAGGAGGAGGGCGGGAGGAGGAGGAGGAGGACGGCAGGAAGAGGAGGAAGCCGGCAGGCGGAGGAGGAGGCGAAGGAGGAGGCGCAGGAGCAGGAGCAGGAACAAGGAGCGGGTCCCTTCCCCCCCTCGCCCTCTCCCCCCCCCCCGCGGGAGGCCTCTGCGGGAGCGGGGGATCGTCGCCACGCGGCGAGAGGGCCATCTCGAGGGTGCGCCGCTTCTGGTCGGCCTCCCCCCCCGGGGGGGAGGACGGAGGGCCGAAGCGGCCCACCAAAGGGGTCGTCGTCGCCGTCGGAGGAGGAGGAGAAGGAAAGGAGGAGGAGGAGAATGAGGAGGAGGACGAGGAGGAGGAAAAGGACGAGGAGGAGGAGGAAGAGATTGAGGAGGAGGAGGAGGAGGAGGAGGAGGAAGAGGAGGAGGAGGAGGAGGAGGAGGAGTAACAGAAGGAGGAGGAGGAGGAGGAGGAGGAGGAGGAGGACGAGGACGAGAACGTGATCGATGGACGAAGCGAAGAGAGAAGGACGGGAACACAAGGGACCGAAGGCAGGAAGAGCCCCCAGGCCCGTCTCGGCCCTGATGTGGCACTTGCTCGCCCTGTCCTCGACAAGAAATCGCAGATTTTACTACTGTAGGTGGAGGAGGAGGAGAAGGAAGAGGAAGAGGAGGAGGAGGAGGAGGAGGGGGAGGAGGAGGAGGCTCGCTCCAAGCACGCAGTACAACACGCGATGGCGCCAAACAACTGACCCCATGCTCACGATAATAAACACTAGGGGATAATAAAGTTCAGGGTTCAGGGGGAGATAATCAAAGTAGCCCACCAGACCTCAGCATAATCTCGAAGTAAGAGAGGATCAAGAGGAGACCAAACCGAGCACGTTTTGAGACATCCTTGGCGTTTAGTCTTCATTAAAATATCCTCAACAATGGCTTATCTCGCTGGAGACATCCTCGACAAATCCCTTGTTTCGCTTGAGACATCCACAAACTATTGCTTATTTCGCTTGAGACACCGTCAAACTATTGCTTATTTCGCTTGAGACATCCTCGAAATAATTGTGTTTTTCGCTTGAAACATCATCAAACTATTGCTGATTTCGCCTGAACATCCTGAAACTATTGCGTATTTCGCTTGAGACATCCTGAAACTATTGCTTATTTCGCTTGAGACACCGTCAAACTATTGCTTAGTTCGCTTGAGACATCCTCGAAATAATTGTGTTTTTTATTCTCGAAGGTCTCATTGTCTGGTTCTGCTCTCTGAGCAGCCATCTGCATGAGCAGCTCTGCTTCAGCAGCTCACCTTGAGCAGAGAGAGATAGTGAGAGAAAGAGGAGAGAGGGAGGGAGAGAGAGAGAGAGGTGAGACTCTCTCTCTCTCTCTCCCGCCGTGCGCTCCTCTGAGGTTTATTATCGTCGGCAGTTTTTGATCATCGGCTGAGGTTTATTATCGTCGGCAGTTTTTTACCATCGGCAGTGGTCAATCGCAACTCCTGAGCTCTCCCGGAAGACGGCGGCACGCAAATGATACGCATTTTTTTTTGGGGGGGGGGGAAAAACTTATTTTTTAAATTTTGTTTTATAAAAATAATAATATCAATAATAATAATAATGTGAATTCCATTGTAATCCTTTCAAAATTGCGAAATCGAGCCGTCAGGCGCTTGAATGCCACATTGCGTTCGAGATTTAAGCACGCGACGCATTTATGAGAAATTTGCGTCGCACGCGCTTTTGCCCGAATATCGAACGCAGTGTGGCATTCAGGCGCGTGCGGATTCGAATTCGCAATTTCGAAAGGATTTCAATGGAATTCGCAACCAAATATAGTATTTTTTGTCAAAATAAGGTTTTTCAAAAAAAAATGCGCGTCATGAGAAAATTGCGTCGCACACGCTTTCGCCTAAATCTCGAACGCAGTGCGGCATTCAAGCGCCTGACGGCTCGATTTCGCAAATTCGAAAAGATTTCAATGGAATTCGCAAGTAAATAAAATATATTGTTTTTCAAAATGAAGCTTTTCAAAAAACATGCGTATCATTTGCGTGCCGCCGTGTTCCCGGAGAGCTCAGGAGTTGCTATCGACCACTGCCGATGATAAAAAACTGCCGACGATAACAAACCTCAAGAGGTTGTGCTGAGGGGTTGTGCTGCAGGGTTGTGCTGGAGGGTTGTGCTGGAGGGTTGTGCTGGAAGGTTGTGCTGGAGGGTTGTGCTGGAGGGTTGTGCTGGAGGGTTGTGCTGGGGGGGTTGTGCTGGGGGGGTTGTGCTGAGAGAGAGAGAGAGAGAAGGAAAAAAAAAGAAGATAAAAAGATATATATATATATATATATATATCTTTAACAAAATAAGAAAGATATAACACACTTCGCAGAAAAATAATAGTAAAAAACAAAAAAAAAAACTTATAATGAAGAAGAAGAATAATAAGAAGAAGAATACGAAGAAGAGAAGATATATAGAAAGAAAGACAGATAGAGGAGGAGGGGGAAAAGCAAAAATTTCAAGTTTCAAATCCATCAGATTTTATTTAGAAACGCTTTATGAAAATTGAGAAAGAAAGAGAGAGAGAGAGAGAGAGAGAAGAAGAAGAGGAGATAATGAAAAGCAAGAGAGGAAGGAGAGGAGGAGAGGAAAGGAGAAGACAGGAGAGGAGCAAGAGGAGAGAGAGATAGAGAAACAGAGAGAGAAAAAAGACAGAGAGGAAATAAAAAAAACATGGATAATCAACCCCAGGGGTAAGCAAGTTCAGGGGGGCATGCGGGGGAGAGAGACAGAGAGATAGAAAGAGAGAGAGAGAAGACATAATGAAAATGAGGAGAAGAAAAATTCAAGAGGAGAAGTAGAAGAGGAGAGGAAGATGAAAAACACAAATTTCAAGTTCCAAATCTATCATATTGTATGTACAAACGCTTTATGATTTTTTGTTTTTTATATAAAAAAAAAGTGCTCGTGTAGGAGCTCATGTGCCTCACTTTCCGTGGGTAATCAACCCCAGGGATAAACAAGTTCAGGGGCGCATGGGGAGAGAGAAAGATATAAAGAGAGAAATAAAGAAAACAACAAACGCTTTATGAAAATTAAAAATTTTAAGTGCTCGTGTAGGGTAGCTCATGTGCCTCACTTTCCGTGGATAATCAACCCCAGGGATAAACAAGTTCAGGGGTGCATGGGGAGAGAGAGGAAACAAAGAAAGAAATAAAGAAATATATAAAGAAATAATAATATAAATTAAGAAAAAAGAAGGAGAAGAGAAGAGGAAGAAAAATAGAAAAAAAACAAACAAAAAAAAAAAAGTTCCAAATCTATTAGATTTAGTTTACAAACGCTTTCTGAAAATTGATTTTTTTGAGTGCTCGTGTAGGGTAGCTCATGTGCCTCACTTGCCATGGATAATCAACACCAGGGATAAACAAGTTCAGGGGGGCATGGGGAGAGAGAGGAAAAAAGAAAGAAATAAAGAAATATATAAAGAAATAAAAATATAAATTAAGAAAAAAGAAGGAGAAGAGAAGAGGAAGAAAAAGAGCAATCCTCGAGTATATGCTTGTTTCGCTTGAGACATCCTCGACAAGCTTCTCGAATCGCTTGAGACATCCTCGCAGAATTGCTGGTTTCGCTTGAGACATCCTTGAAACATTGCTCGTTTCGTTTGAGCCTGCCTCCCAAAATTCTTGGTTTCGCTTGAGACATCCTCACAGAATTGTTGTTTTCGCTTGAGACATCCTTAAGAAACGTATCGTTTCGCTTGAGACATCCTTCAGTATATGCTTGTTTCGCTTGAGACATCCTCGAGTATATGCTTGTTTCGCTTGAGACATCCTCGACAAGCTTCTCGAATCGCTCGAGACATCCTCGAGTATATGCTTGTTTCGCTTGAGACATCCTCGACAAGCTTCTCGAATCGCTTGAGACATCCTCACAGAATTACTGGTTTCGCTTGAGACATCCTTGAAACATTGCTCGTTTCGTTTGAGCCTGCCTCCCAAAATTCTTGGTTTCGCTTGAGACATCCTGAAAAAAGTGTGATCGCTTCGCTTGATGTTGCTATTTCAACATAACTTGATCTTGCTATCTCAACATAACGTTCCGAGGTGATAATGAAGTTTGGCCTCCGCGCCCCGCGCCCCCGACCAAACTCTTATTGGTCGACGATAAAAAACTCTAACGACTTAAGGGGGGGGGGTACATTATTATCGTGGGCACGGGGTTAAATACCTTGGGGCGGTCCAACGATCTGTCGCACAAGGCGCCGGAAGTCGACATTCATAATCCGTACGTCTTCAGCATACTTCGGGCAATGCTCTGTCTCTAGACACGCCACTGTCGTCACGGCAACATTCAACATTTTCAGCCACTGTGCGATGAAGGCCTACCTGTCGCAGACGATTGTCGGTCATAGAAATCTTTGCCCTGCGTGTGGTAGTTCAGATCCAGAATGCGTGATTCCGCCCCCTCCCCCGTGGACAACATGCAGCCCAACCGTTAGCCGGTTATGAGCAGACTCTCTTAGGGAGTCTCCGTTGAATCGCGGTCGGGGCCTGGGCTACAGCAGTTTATCCGCTTGTCCTTCCAATTAAGACCAAACCTGACTTTCATCCAATCGGTGGCGCTATCATAGGAAGGCACCAACTATACACCAACACCGATCCTGGCCAGGATCACCCTGGGCCCAGGATCGGTGTATACGCCCTCCAGCCTTGCGCAAGAAGGCATATACACCGATCCTGGGCCCAGGGTGATCCTGGGCCAGGACCGGTGTTGGTGTATAGCTGGTGCCCTCCGAACTGGAAGTAAGTAAACACGGACGACAGACGAGTCCCGCAGGGGCGACGGGAATCCCCAGACCGCCCAGCCCAGCAGCTGGCTCGCCGGAGACTTCCTGGCAGCTTCTTCCGGCGTCGTGCTCTCGCCTCACTGCCGGCTGCATGCTTGGCCCATACGGCCACGAGGCCTCGTCACTATCACTGGGGATACCCAGGAATGCAAACTTTCACTGACCGACCCAGGCCCCCGACGTCGTGATTTAGGAGGAGGAGGGGAGGAGGAGGAGGAGGAGGAGGAGGAGGAGGAGGAGGGATGAGGGGGGAGGAGGAGGAGGAGGAGGAGGAGAGGAGGAGGAGGAGGGGAGGAGGAGGAGGAGGAGCAGGAGGAGAGGAGGAGGAGGAGGGGGAAGGGAGAAGAGGAGAAGGCCTTCTCAGAGGCAGCGGAATTTCTCGGAAGCCCTGGCGCC